AGGGCGGAGCCGTGAGTATTACATGTCCGACGGTTACCAAAACGGATAAACAAACAACACAAGTTGCGCGCAGTAGTTGTAACGAAGCCACATACTCCGCGCCCGTTCACATCCTCGAGGAATCTCGTGATCATCAGGCTGAAACTTGTGATAGTCTTCATAGTGCGCCGGCGAGAGAACATCAGAGGCGTCGTGCATCGCGCATCCGCCGTTCTGTAATAAAAGCTACGGGTGAGGCTGACGCGGAACTAAGACCCAGTGAGCCTGTAAAATACATCCACATATGGAATCTTCACGTTAGTACCACCGCGGAGAACGTCCTGTCGTATATGAGGAAGAAAATTGAAGGAAACACATTTACGGCGAATGCACCTCCACAGTCTCACGAATCGCATAAGTGTTTCATTGTTGGTGTTCCGGCGGAGCACTTTGCATATTTCATGTCACCAGCTAACTGGCCTAAGAATGTATCGCTACAAGAATGGTTTATGTACAGAAATAGACGAACCCATGCGAGCACCTCCTCCGGTAGAACATTTTTTCGCCAAAAAAGTAAAGAAACCATTCCATAAGGTAGAACTTTATTACCAAAACGTGAGGGGTCTCAACGGAAAGAAAGACAAAGTCAAAAATACATTAGCAACATTTCCAAGTGACTTACTGTCGTTAAGCGAGACTCGACTGAATGACTCAGTACACGACTCCGAAGTGTTTCCGCCTGGATGGAATGTCGTACGATGCGACCGCTGCTTGCGTGGAGGTGGAGGAGTCCTGCTTGCGGCGCGCACTCCCTATGTGCTCCGCCCCCTACAGTGTGATGCTGATCCCTATGATGAACATGAGATGGTTTGTGCGATGGTATCTAAGGGGTCAGTGCGTTTTGTCTGTTGTGTGGTGTATTTGCATCCTCGAGTGCCTGTATCTTCGTATTATGCTGTATTCAATTGTATTGAAAAATTGTTACAAAAATATTACGATCTACCTATGATCGTTGTTGGCGATTTCAATTTATATTCAACCACAGCTACAGTTCGTAATGACTTTGATTTGTTTTTATCATCTTGCAATTTGACACAAATGTGTAATGTTATGAATAGTTTAGGACATTTATTAGATTTAGTTTTGACAAATCAGGCGATGTCAGAGGTTTCAGTTGTCGAGGCAATGTGTGGTTTGGTGTCTGATGAAATGCACCATCTACCGCTTGATGTCTCTTTTGGCTTACCCAATTTGAACCGCAAATATTCAAATTCTGCAGGCTCCGTCGTTATGCCGAGGGTTAGGGATTTTCGCAAGGCAGACCTATATGAACTCTACATGAAGATGTCTCACATGGATTGGACGCCCTTGTATGACATCGGTGATGTAAATGAGGCTGTCAACTATCTATACTCAAATATCAACACTGTCATAGAAGAGGTTGTACCATATAAGAACTTTAACAAATGTACTAATTATCCGGTATGGTTTTCTTTCGACACAATATCATTAAATAAACTCAAAAACAGGTATCACAAGTTGTATAAAGAAACAAATAATCAACTATATTATGGTTTATTCGCCTATTACAGGAAAATGGTTGATAAAAACTCACAAAGTGATCTAATTAACTATTGTAAAAGAGTTCAAAATGGTATCAAACACAACCCCTCTTCATTCTGGTCGTTTGTGAAGAGACAACAACTATCCTATCAGCCTGCTACATTTGATTGCTTGGCTCCACAAGAGATTGCAGACTCGTTTGCTCAATTCTTCAAAAGTGTTTTTCTGCCAGATCTCCCTCATCTTAGCGTCGAGGATGCTCGTCTCAGGTCAGCTGGTTGCGCTCTACATGCCACCTCCCAGCAAGATGTCCAAGTCAATGAAATCAGTGAGAATGATGTACGAAAGGCTATCAGACGATTAGCACCTAAACTCACACAGGGCCCTGATGGAATCCCTCAGTTTGTAGTCAAGGACTGTTGCGATGTGTTTGTCGAGCCGCTCTGTTATATATATAACCTTTCCATCAGATCCAATACGTACCCTCAATATTGGAAGGCATCTAAGGTTATACCCATCCACAAGAGCGGCTCGAGAAGCGATGTTCGCAACTACAGACCTATTGCTATCCTTTCAGTGTTTGCAAAAACTTTCGAAACGGTACTCTGTAAGGCCATAACTTCACAACTTCGCGGATGGTTTTGCGAAGAACAGCACGGTTTTTTGCCGCAACGCTCTACCACTTCCAACCTATTGAATTTAACAACATTGATAGGGTCTAATATTGATCACAAAACCCAGGTAGATGTTGCCTATTTCGATTTCCGCAAGGCCTTCGATCGTGTCAATATTGACCAATTACTTGTAAAAATGGGCGTTGCAGGTTTTACGGCTCCTTTAATGATTTTTTTCAGGACGTATTTTAAAGATAGAACACAGTATGTTGACTATGGACACGTCAATTCGTCACCTTATGCTGTTACTTCTGGCATAGGTCAAGGTAGCAGTCTCGGTCCCCTCCTTTTCTTGCTGCTTATTAATGATCTCCCCATGTCTATAAAGTCATCCATATGCCTTATGTTTGCTGATGATGTTAAACTTGCTATGCCGGTGAAGGGCACTGAGGACGTCGATCTATTGCAAGCAGATATTAACAGCATTTTCGCATGGAGCCAAGTTAACGGTTTAGAGATGAATATCGATAAGTGCTCCGTAATGTCGTATTCTCGCAAAGATCCCATCCTAAATGAGTACACTATCGGTGGAATGTCCCTCGATCGAGTGCAGTCTGTACGAGATCTGGGAGTAAGATTTAATTCACAACTCAAATTCGGTGACCATATTATCGATATTTGCAATTCTGCATGGAAAAGTCTCGGCTTTATAAAACGACAATCCAAGCTTTTCGATCAACGCGAGGTAATTTGTAACCTATATAATGCCTTTGTTCGTAGTAGGTTGGAGAGTGGCTGTGCAGTCTGGAATCCCCACAATAAATTATACATCGCAATGATAGAACGAATCCAGAAGTCATTTCTGCGGTTTTTATACAAAAAAGTTCATGGGTATTATCCCTATATGTACCCCACATCATTTATCTTGGGAATGGTGTCTTATAGATCTTTGGAGGTAAGGCGAAAGCTTGCAGTGGTTAAATACATCTTTTGCTTAATAAGGGGATATCTCAGTAACCCCCCTCTATTGGCTCAGATACCTTTCTTTGTCCCGCCAACACCGCGATATGTTCTGCGCCAACGTAGACATCCCTTGTTCGCGCTACATCTAATCCGTACGGAGACACTAAGACGGACACCATTCTACGAGACTCTAGCCGTTATTGAATCTTTGAATCAAATTGAGGACACTGACGTGTTTAGTAACACTAGGACGAAGTTTCTGACATCGGCTGGTTACTACTTGGAGTCGGTCACCGCCCAAAGCTCTGTGATCGATATTCAGCAGCTTCGTTTTTGCAGTGATTGACTCCAACCAATATTGACTATGGCTTGCATGTTTGGTTTTTACTGTTAGTGTAAGTTGTATATTATAAATAAATAAATAAATAAAAATAAATAAATAAATAACGCAAACCGAAGGTAGCGTGTGCGTGCCAGAAGCCTGGATACGGAACCATTGTTATAAAAAAAGAAAACAAATTAGGGTGGAGCACGCACATGATACACGTGCTCGAAATGATGTTCTCCACTGAACATCACAACCATGTGATTGTTCGAACTGACAACAGCAAATCAATATTCAGAACGAACGACGAATGCTCTGGATTCCGACAAACCCATACTAAAGCTAAGTTCCAATGTACAAAAGGGATCGTAATGATATTGGAATACAATTACTGAACCGCCAAATTCTATATTTCTGTCCGTAGGTTGTCAATGACCGTTATAACGTTTGAATTTACGAACAAAATTTAAGTTGTCGACTGCACGAAAAAGTTTGTTTTAACTGTAAGTAGCGCCTCGTCCTCTCTACGCATGTTCCTTGCATAAGTTCCATTGTACCAAATAAGGAAATTCTCAATTGAACTAAATGCAATGCGCTAGCATCAAATCGTTTTTAATTTATTTATTATCATGTAAAGAAAACATAAGGAAGTCTCATGATAGAGTGGCACATCCCTACCCAACTACAATAGTGTTTGACGGCTATGTATAGATGTGTGTGGGGTTTGATGTTATCGTAATCAAATACGACATTCTTACGATTCACCAGTTCTGGGCGTTTTCGTGACTTATAAACTTACAACTTTCCCGCCTATTCTCAAAATGCACGGTAAAATATTATTTTTTAAATGACCATAGACAATACAACATTTTACAAAATAAAAGTTCTTTTGAAGCCGACTTCGAAAAAAGGGGGAGGTTCTCAATTCGACAGAATTTTTTTTACTATATATGTTACGCGATAACTCCGTCATTTGTGAACCAATGTTGATGATTCTTTCTTCTCTTTTTGTTGGAAAGAGACTCGGTATTTTGGTCCCATTTCATTTTGGAGAAAATATTCCACCTCTACAGTTGGCAATCTAGGGAATGAATCGGGATTTATCCATTTCCCGTTAACCGACTTCCATAAAACTTGGCAAATATGTCGGTGTAATTCCAGAAACTTTTGCGATTGGTTTTTTTTATTAAAAAGCACACTTAGAGGTGGAATATTTTCTTCAAATTTGAACGAGATCACTACTGAGGTGAGTACCTTTTCAAGAAAAACCGAATCATCGAAATAGGTTCACGTAATATGTCGGGAGTACTCGCGTAACAAACATACAAAAAAACCAAGCCGAATTGAGAACCTCAAATTCGATTATAAAAACAATATTTGCGACTCAGATCCGAAAAAATAAGTTTCATTTCCAATATGTATCTATATAGAAGTTGTCAGAACGTCTGATAAAACCAGATTAAAGAATCTTAACCACCTACATCATACGGTGAGTAATACACGAGATGTGAGATAGATACGTCCAAATTGTCTTAACCTAACAAATTCTGACTCACCGTCTGCTGGAGCGTTGATCGTTCGCCGAAGTCGTTTGTTCTCTTCCTGTAGCCGAGCCACTGCGGTCACCAATTCTGCCGATTCTGTTCGCCATTGCTCTTCGATTGCTTCAATTTCCTGCAACAAATTAAAAGTTTGAATTATTAATACAAAGATCGAAGATAAAGAAAAAAATCCTTCGATCCGACAGGACGGGTGTCCAACAGGGGGTCTACTCTTGTTCTCCGTCAAATAAATAATATTCGGCCAAATTAAAAGATGCATGATGCGAATGAAGCTTCAAAAATAAAAAAACAATATCGAATTTGTGTTTTGATTTGTTCGAGTACTACTTATTTGACAGTAATTGTTTCGGAGATGTCGGAAGGAGAACAAGAGTACAGAGCCAGATTTTGTCAATATAATTTAGATACATCTAACCACATAGCTGTGAAGCTTTACAGTACTGGTCTGTTATTGCATCAATAATAACAATAAACTAGTGAATATTTATACAAAAAATATCCCACACGAAACCAAATACTGTAGTAACTTAAATTTGTGCAATTGAGAAAACACGATTAGAAAATTGAATAATTGTAACTTTTTTTTTTAAAAAAAAACGACCTCAAAGTTCGAATTACATAATTATTTGCAAAGTTTTATTGAAATCGGTTACCGGAAGTGGGTGAAACCGGATTCATCCCCTAGTTTGAGGTAGAATATTTTTTTCAAATTTTAATGGTACCCTTAACCTTAACCCATTACAACAAAAAAAGGATCATCAAAATAGGTTTACCAAATCAGCCGCAGTTATCGCGTAACATACATACAAAAAAAACACAATCGAATTGAGAACCTCCTCCTTTTTTTGAGTTTCGTCTTTCAATAATTGGCATTTTCAAGATACCAACCGGTACGAAATATTTGATTACATAGAGACAGACAAGATGATAGGAGTCAAAGGTGCTAGTGTTATTAGGATTTTAAACGAGTACATCGCATCACCGGTGACAAAATTTGCACGACTTAAAAGTTTTATTTTTTGTCTTTAGAGCTACTGAGCACATTTGAAGAGCTCTTAAATGTTCAGTAAAGTTCCTTGTGAAAGAGTTCGTCCAGTAAAGTACTGCCACCTTACCTATTTCTGCAACCAAGCAGTAACGCAAGCATCACTGCGTTTCGGTTTTGAAGGGTACTGGTGAAGTTACAGACACATGAGACTTGTCAACTTATGTGTCAGGTTGACGGACACAGTGGCGGTGCCTTCAGATTTTTGTGATTAAAAGCTCTGAGTGGCACTACAACTATTGCGGACAGGCGTGTCGCTTACCACTAGGCGCACTTGTTCATAAATAAATAATAAATAAAATAAAAACACTTTATTATTCAACAGAAAACATACAATAATATTTAAGGGTCGTATTCTAGAACTCTATTCAATGCTCAAGTCAGGATTGCACTGGCAACACAAGCACTGGAAATATGACCCTAATGGCAGGGACTTGAGTATGATTTCGAGTGCTTTAAACCATACTCAAATCCTGACTTGAGCATTGAGTAGAGTTCTAGAATACGACCCTAAGATAAAAAAATGCTTAAATCTATGTCAAAGAAAAGGTAAAAGCCTCAGCAATTTGCTGGTTTTCAGGCTTCACTTGGCAAGTATTCGACCCTCGAGATACCGTACCATATAGAAACGTGTATCTTTTCGATTATATATCATATAAATAGGATAGATACCTCACTCACTATATACGTTTACTATACAAATAATAAACCTTAAAACTTAAAATGACATTCGTACCGACCACCGAACATACTGCACCTAGCAGCAAAGAGTTTGTTCCTGTCTACTGTAGTCTATGCTCTACTCTATGAGTAGAATCACTGCCACTGGCTGAATGAATAGTTTTGTAATTAGAATGTTTTGTAAAATAAAGTAAGGAAAAGAATGGAGCATCTTGACAGAGTGAATTGTAACCCAACGCCGAAACTATGTGAAAGAATACAATAAAGTATATTTTGAAGATTATTCCGCTTTAAATTCATAAAAGTACCTCTCGCTACGCATCTTAAGCTACACCCCAGTTACACTACATAGAATACAACAAGTAGAGAATGGAATTTAGAAGAATATAGGTTTAGCTCATTTTGAATTCTAATTATAACTTTACTTTTATTATTTTTAATGACGTAACAGAGCCTACATCACCTTCGACCAACAATATGATGTCATACGTATCATAAAAAAAATTCTATTTTGAGCATCGCGCCCTCTAGGGAAAAATGAAGAAATGTATGCAGTCCCTGTTTTTACGAATATGTGATATTCGCCGAAGGTGTGATATGGCGAAACACCTTTATACCGAAGTGATTAACAACGAACTATTGTAAGCAGCAATCATACACAAAAGGAGACATATTATGGTTTCATTAAAAAGGCTAAATTATATTTGAATTAGATTTCGTTATTTATTTTAAGTAAAACAATATTTTACTTCATACTTTCTCTAAACAAAGTTAACACAGCTTGGAATCTGGAAACATTCCATACGTCCAAGTTTGGAGTATGAATTAAAAGTTCAAAACTAGGTTTATCCTGGCTTACTGCCAGTTGCTTTGCGGCATTTTGTTGCGTAAAATATATCGTAAAATATGATATAAGGGACTTGTATTATTGTGCTAATACAAGTCACAATCAATGATAAATAGATTCTTACTACATGGAAAAATGTAAACAGTATCTCTATCACAGGGTATGTATACTTCGTCTCAATCCATTTTGAACAAAATGTAAACAAACAAGTCACTGACCCGACCATAGACGGTTTAGTGATGGCTAATTGCAATGCCAACTACAAATCGATTAATTAATTGAATGAATCGATTTGCTAAATTGATTCATACTAGCGGTTTTCCTTACATAACCTATACAAGCATATTTCATATTTCCGAAATCTTAATTTTAAATCCTCCTTCAAATCCTTACACTTAGTTACTCGTTCCATTGCGATTGAAATATTCGATTTACTAATCGATTTCAAAAATTTTAATTGAAAGAACCGAATGTTTACTTTTGTACAGCACTATGCAACCATAGACAAGTCGTAGATGTATAGATGAAAAATTACCTCACTTTTGGACTACCATTTTTCAAATACGATTTTACGATGCTATTCCAAAGAATATTGTTGGAAAAAGTGATGAGATATCAAGTCCAAATCTTCGAAATATACGTGAAAGTGTTACTTATTCGATTTATTGAGTGATTGCTTTAGAATTTTAACCAAACAGTTTTCTTTGCTTTTTGTTTGAAATGGATTGAAACAGACTTTATTAGTTATACAGTTCTTTATGTCGACATATGGATGATACAACATATTTCCGATGCATCATTCGTCATCATCAACCAATGAGGAGTAAAGTCATCACCATGTATGATAATTAAAAAGATAATCGGTAAAAATATTTAAGTTGTTAAGACAAAACTTTCTATTATTCTCCATTCTTCATATCTTGACTGTCAATCATAGTGCGTGTAACCGTTTCATAATTTCAAGATAATAAGTCATGCCTGAAGTTTTTGAAAGCACGACCAGTAACATTAAATAATTTATGTCTCAATCACAAGAAATGTATACAGGCTGTAATCGTTAAGCGTGCCCAGATGATTATTCAGTAAATATAAGAGATATAAAAAATCTTTAAACTGATATCGAAAGTACGTTACGTGAGTATTTTTGTTTTAAATAAAACTAGAAATTTTAACGTTAAACGCTGGGGGTGTTAGTTTTGCGCAACTGCTTTGAATACAAAATTTTGTAATTACTTAAAAATAAACATCACTTAGATACTATTCAGTTAAAATGTAGTTTTATTAAATATAGTTTTATTACTTTATTTACAGCAGTTTTGTTATTTGTGTAGGTCTACTAAATCCTCTCAACAAATGTCATATTAAATGAATGGGAGCTTATTATAACCGGAAAAATTTTAACTACTTCTAGTTTTATTTTTAAAATCGATGTCGTTTCACTCATTAGGTAAATTACTTTCGGTATCAGTTTTAAAGGTTTTTGATATCTGTTACATTTACGGAATAATCTTTGAGTACACTCAACGATTGCACCCTGTATAACTATAAAAACGCAATTTGTCAAAGTAACTTTGACAACGTTTTATTATTAGATAGTAAAACATTTGTTAAGGCTCATAGAACCTCCTACAACATCAACGTCTAAAATGTATAAGAGTCGGTGCAGATGATAAAAACTACGGCTACTTAAGTATGAAATTCGTGTAGTGCGCGCCAAACGCGGTTTGGTTCCCCGAATGTCCAACTATATACACGAATATCTAATCCGAAGGCCATAATCCGATCCTGAAGGTCCATTCCCGTTTTCCGTCCGACATTCTTCCGAAACAATTACTGTGAAACAAGTAATACACGACCAAAAAAAGGTAATAGATAAAGACTATGTCAAGAATGAAGCTTCATTCGCATCGTGCGTCTTCAATTCATCAAACCGACACGTTTGTTCTGTTATTATTATCTTTTATTAGTAATGACAAGAGTCACGGAGTCACATAAAATCAAATTGGACGTTCAGGACATTGAACGTCCAGCGACTAGACACTAAGGGAATTGGACGTGAAGCGACTAGATGTTCAGGGAATCAGACGTCATGAACCAAACCAGCTTGCTAACGCTTGTCTTCTAAAGTGGCCCTTATTGTACATAGATAGCACTTACGACTGATGGCCGTACACGAAAGGTCAATCACTCAGTTGAATAGTTTGATTGGCTGTCATTTATGAGACTTTACGTTCGTAAATATAAACTGACTCAAATTCTTTGATCATTATTTTGTTTGTCACAGTAAGCACATAACATTCTTGAAGATTCCATTAAGTCTCTTTTCCTCGTTCAGGCAATCACAATATCCGTAGGGAGTACACTCCAAGTGCGTCAACTCGGAATGGCAATTCAATAATGACGTCACTCTATTGACCTTTGTATATTAAAAGGTCTTAATAAGTAAAGGTCAACAGAGGGTTACACACAGGATGTAGGCCTACTGGGGGAGGTTATTGTAAACGTCTATAGAGGCCGCGTGAAATTAAAATTCACTGCC